GGGACGGCAGGGATAGCCTCTCTTGGCAAAGATTTCCAGAGCAAGAGAACAGCCACAGAGAAGGCCCTCTCTCAAGTCACCGGTGGGCCACTGAAGGTGGTAGGACAGTGAGAAGGGTCTCCAGCAGATCGCAAAGCCCATGGAAACTTATGTAGGAAAATGCGGTCTTTCATATAACAGGACCCAAGTAAAATGGGGCTTTGTAAGTCCAACATCAGTGAAAAGGAGAGGGTAGGATAAAGAAGAGGTGAGAACCTTCTGGATGAGTCAGTGTGCATCTAACCATACTCACAATCTCTAAAACTTGTGCCCATTCGCTTTCTACCATTACCTTTCATGCCTGTATTGTAGCTGAAGAGGACACACTCTGCTGCCATGTGGTTTGCAGAATGCAGGGCCAGTGTTACTATATTATGAAGGGAAAGACCAGAGACAAGAGGTCTTTCTGGTGGAGCCGTCTCTCCTTAAGACATCCAAGGGGACTCAAACTACCCCACCTCCTACCCCACCCCGAAAGAAAGACCAAGAGAGAGCTTTAACAGAAGAGCATGAGGGAAAAGGGGATGTCGCGTGCAGTGGATACCCAAGACTTAGAAAAAGAGTTGAAAGGGTTAAGTGTAGCTACATCATCTAGGGTAGAAATGGCAGGAAAAGATGAGAAAGGGTGGGCTCTGGAAAAAGGGGGGTTGGGGGAAATAAATACAGCCCCGGACAATATCCCGGGTGGTTGGGAAACTGTTTGGATGCAGGACCCTTGGACAGGGAAATGGGAAAAGGTTTGGGTGCCCAAGGCTGAAGCAGAGAGCCGTAGAAGAAGGGGCTTACCCCAGAGACCTTCCTATTGGGGTGAGTCTGAGACCCGGGAATGGAGGAGAAAGATTAGGGAGAAGAAAGAAGCCATCGCACGCCGGGCATGGCATCTAGAAGAACTGTGGAAGATGGGGTGTTTTCTGGACCTTGGGGTGACTCACATGGAGAGGGATCCCCACTGTCAGGATGGATGGGGGATGAAGAGACCCTCCCGCTTTTGAACCAGACCAAACCAGAGTTCGAGAATGTTGATCCAGAACGGGTGATTGCTGGACCTTGGAACGTTGAGACGGTTAACCCTTTGAAGAGAATTTATGGTTACTCTTGCGAGAGCTGTTGCTCGAACAAGAGACTCAAACCAGAGAACATGTTAAAGTTGGAACCTAATTAGTTGAGTTAATAAATGACACAAATCTTTTTTGCAAAACTGAGTCTGGTGATTTATTCAAGAAAAGGGAAGCCCACATACATGAACCTTCAGATATATCAAGGCTGCAGGACCTGTGGCTGGTTCTCTCATTCTTCATTTTGGGCAAGCTTGACTGCAGTTGATTGGTATTGGATTTCAACATCATTTGAAGCTCTCTTCTTCCTCTCATAGTACCTTGTACTTGCTGCTATGGGCACTTCAGGACCACTTTATGCACTGTAAATTCTCCATGTAGAAGTTAGTTCCACAGGAGAAAAAGGTTTAGACATGCATCTTCCCCGGTGTGTGTATTTTGCTGCAAGAACACGTACCTTACTCATTTTCAGTAGCCTTCCATGGTCTGGACATCCAGTCAACTATTTGTCACTTCTACATTACAAAGTGGGTTTCACACCTTTTCCTTCATACAAATAAATGCCTTCTGCAAATAAAATGCTTCTGCTTTTAGATGTGAAAGGAACCATCCTTTTAAAATGCTAAACATATGACAGCTGTAGTTCAGGATTATTGTACACAACTGAAATTTGAGTGGGGGCTAAAGGGAAAGGCAGCCAATGTCTTTGAAACAGCTCCATTCTCAATATGCTCATACTGGTTGCACACTATTCTGTTAGCTACAGTATATGAATTGGTATAAATCTGACACAGGCTGTCTCTGCTGTATGCAGGTGAGCTGAAGAAGCAGATATTTCTACAGATACAAAAACAGTCTCCAGTCTTCAAAATTAGAGGTGTTAGGATGACCACCATCATATCCGGTGTGGTAGAGTATGTAGATAGAGTATCAAATTAGGACTTGGGAGATATGGGTTTGAATCCTCACTTGATCACGGAAACTCATTGGTAGTGGTTGAACTAGTAAAACCACTCCTTAAACATCTCTTTTACTTAAAAGCCCTATTAGACTCCCTACAAGTCGTTCTAACTTGACAGCACACAACAGGCACACACACAAACATTGTGGTTAGAGTGTTTGACTTGGTTGTGGAAGAGTTAGATTCTTTATCTTCCATAAAGATCTTTGGGTGACTTTTGTCCAGTCACCTTTTTTTATCCTGACCTACTATAGAGCTGCTAAGGCTAAAAATGAAGAAGAGTAGGATTGTATTGCCCCCTTGAGCTCAGGAAGTAAATATGACAAATAATATGGAATGTTAAAGCAGTCTTGCTGTTCAATAAATGAAGTCCAGATTTCATATTCCATCTCAAGATGATTCCTTGATCAGACCAACTTTAAAAAAAAACAGTGTCACAGAACTGGGGTTGGGGTTCTTTAGCTCTTCCATTTTGCCACATCTCTTTTCCTTCTGCATGCCTGAGGAAGAGATGATAACTTCCTGAAAGCTTGCACAGAATGTTGTGTCTTTAAAAAAATCAATCTAAAAAAGGTATTACCTTGATACAGAATTTAGATTTGGGACTAAATAAATGAAAAATACACTGAAGATATGCTAGTACTGTACAGTATTTGCTTCAACAAATGTGGGGGTGGTATGTATTTTCACATATATAGTGGTCACATGTATGAAATGTGTCCTCAAGGATTTAGAATAATATTTTATTATATTTTATGTATTTACTTAAGCAAATACTACTGTTGTAACAGTGGTGCAGCAAATTAAATTGCTACTTTAACAGTGGAATTAAATGTAAATGGGAGCACCAAAATTTCCCTGTGAGACAAATCATGCTGTATCTTAGCATTCAGTTAAAAGTACAATAAAACATTTTCAGCTTCACCTATGGATGTGATTCAAAAGGGAAGAGGTGCTATTTTTAATAAATCTTTATAACTATGTGTAAAGTAAAAGCCAAGCTGTTTTTAATGAGGCATATGTGGTATATTGGAACAATGTTTTATAATACATAAAAATATACAAACACAGAATATATTTTTTTCAGCAACATGGAAGACTTTTGAGGCAATGATAATATAGTACCGCAGTGGCTGGAGGGTGTTTTGACATACTGCATCAACAAACTCTTAGTACCTTTAATAAATCACAGGTTATCTTTTACAAGATTGGTAACAGGAGACAAGTGACTTATTCAGCATGATTAAGTACACTCTGAAAACATGGCCCAATTCAGTTAATTCTCAACAATTAATTCCAATAAATATTGAAGCAACATTGATTTTAATTACAAAAGATAAAAATGAAGAACAAGTTTGGGAAAATGAAAATGGTCAAAGACCCTCAAAAGTAGTGTTTTGTAATTTGTTCTGGTACCTATAACAAGGCACCTTAATGGATTTGAACAAATTATTTTTAGGGTTGTTTTTCTTCTGGCAGAATTCCTGTGCCTTCAACTGCCAATTTCTGTCTTCTAATGCTGCTATAGAAGACAGAGCAGTCTTGCAAAAAAAGAAAAGTACAAACCCTTCTGTTACTTTGTATTCATGTAAATATTGCAGTTGTATAGATAAAATACTAAAATAAATCTCCATATTGTGTAAAAACATTAACAGAGAAATAATTATGCAAACAACAACAGCAAAAAATGTTTGTGGACTTTTGTCATGGACTTCACTCTACAAAGGCTACGAAGGGTAAACCTGAGATGATGGAGGGATTAGATGATTGCAGTGACTGAAATTTGTTGAGGAAATCTGGTTGGGAAAATCAGGAAAGGGGAGATTAGATTGTTCCTGTTGAGCCAAAGAGGTAGAGTTTGAAATCTCCAGGGGTATTGAAAAGAGGCCAAAGGAAGTGTCTTTATCAGAGACATTGGAAGTATTCAGGATGGTGGGAAGAACAAAATCAGCAATATCCAGGGAGCCTGAAGAAGATGAATCTGAAGAATATTGAGATGTTAAGAGAGTGTCAATGTTAATGAGGTCTAATGAACCGGAGGAGGAGGAGGAAGTGAGAACAGAGTCATCCAGGAAAGGTGATGAGACTATGTCATGGAGGTCTTGCACATCTGAAGAGGAATGACTGGAGAGTTCCAAAGAGGACAGAGATGATGGTTCAGAAGGCTGCAATGATGCTGAAGAAGAGAGGCTGGAGAGGTCTATGCAGACAGTAGAGCTGAGACTAGAAGAAGGTAGAGAATCGGAAGAACCAATGCTAGAAATATCCAATGAAATCGAAGAGCTGAGACTGGAGCGCTCCCAGGAACCGGAGGATGCAGGGCTGGAGAGATCCAAGGAAACTGATGAGGAGATACTGGAGGAATCCAGAGAGACAGAAGACGAGAGACTCGAGAGCTCGGGGGAAGACAAGGAGGCAAAACCAGAAAGGGCCAAGGAGGATGAAGTGGTGGTATCACTGGAGCAATCGCACGACTCTGATGAACTGGAGCTGGTGAGGTCAAGAGAATCGGTAAAGGCAAATTTGGTTGCAAACTCCAAAGAGGCCCAAGATTCAAAGCCCTTGTGGTCCAGGGAGGCAGAATAGATGCGGCCAGAGCGATCCAGGGGGACTGGAAGTTCAGTTTACAGGATCCAACAGATGCTGAAGATTATTTCGTAGTCTTTCACCATGCAGGGTGATTTTATCGTTTTCATCATTTGAACACCTTTGCTTCTGAAAGCTAGGAAACATCAAAAAAAATTATTGCTTCAAAATCAGTTTAAAATATTATTGAATGAGACACCTATTATTTCTGCTTTGGTTAAATAAGGAACAAGTTTTCTAAGAAGACGGGAACACTGCAAATTCTTATATGTATTGCAAACCAATGGTTCTCATCCTGCTGTATACCCCACCACTCACTCTGTCAAAGAGCACGAGTACAGCCATCTATAGGTCCTACCATCTTCATAAACATGTTCAATGTGAATGTGAGAGAAAGCCTTTTCAGTAGCTGCTCTTTTCCCTGGGAAGCTAAACTCATGCCCTTGTTAGACAGGGAGAGATGTTTAGCAACTTTACTGGCTGGAGAGGAATGGGTCTTTATCGGATTTATCTTGTACTTTTAAAAAAATTCCATGCTTTACAGTTGCTTTTAATGCACTGCTGCTTTAATATCATAGTTTAATTGTATTTTAACATAACTTTTTACGTTTTAACCTCTGTGTGCTTCTTAAAATCTATTTTGTGAGTAGCTGTTTTAATATTGGGATTTTAACCAGCAAGATAGAAATCAAATAATTGAATGTACTTGGGAATTTGTTCTTAGAAACAGAACAAAAAACAAAGGGGTAGAACCATGTACTTCAGAAAAAGATGGGTGAGGAGGCACAACATGTGGAGAAACTGCTACTGTGGTGATGAACAGGGAAGCCTGCCTACAAGGCAGGCACAGGATAATGCGTACCTCACAAGATGGATGTATTTAGCCATGTTTTTGAGCAGGAGCATAACAAGTGCTCTGACAATGCTTCTTGTCCTTGTGTGACATTTCTTATCTCGGATGTCACTGGTACATTGTCTTGTCACAGCCTGTGCCCAGATGTATTTATAATTGATTTAACATAATCACCATGGACTGAACTCCCACTGAGGTCACCCTTTAGTCTCGACAGGTGTCTGCTATCCTTCTTCATCTGTAGTTAATGGACGCTGTTTTCCTTCCATTGACAGAACTATAGGGATTTTGTGAATGTGCCCATGTAGAGATAAAATGTATATAAATCAATTGGGAGCTGGAAATTAATATTACATAATAGCAGGAATCAAGCAATATCCCAGAAATATATAGTACTTTTTGCGTTTTAGAAGTAAGTTTGTACATAAGGAGTTATATACGGACAAATGGTCTATCCAGATCTGTGTTATCCATTTAAATCGGTAACATTTCTTCAGTCACAGGAAAGATTATTTCTCACTCCTGAGGTACAGACAATATTCTTTGAAACTAAAATATTGTGCATGCAAAGCATTTGCCACATACCCTGAGGTATTTTTTGGAGGGGGGGGCGTCATATTGAGCATAGGGAAGTAAATAATTACCATAATATAATAGCCACTTCTGCAACCCCTTACTCTTCAGAATAAATAAGCTTAAAAGAGGAAATATATTATCTTCTTCGGGTGCTTATAAGAGAGCTAGGTAGAATAAATAAGGCAACACCTATCAAACTACATGTTCTTATTCATATGCATACTCTGTGATGCCTAGCAGGCAATGATTACTGTTAATTAGCCATAAACCACCACCTTGAGTTCTATCAACATGTTGTTCCAGTAATCTTTTCTCCTATTTATTTAAATTTTTATCCTGCCTTTCTCCTTTAAAAGGATTCAAAAAGGCTGCAGAAGCATTCACTTGGATATTGCATATTATAAAGAAATCTGAGATGTATGATTAAAGATACAAATTGAAGATAAAAGTTTAAGGGTAGCACATACCTTGGATAGGTGTAAATTTTCTACCTTTCTCCTTTGATACCAGCCATATTCACTGAGCTGTTAAAGCTCAGCTGTTCCTCCCACTAATGACCCTAATCTTTCATCAGCTCTTGGACTGAAAATTGTTCCATGCCGATTTAAATACAGGTCACCAGCTAGCAAATCTCAAGGCAGTGTGGGTGAAAAGTATGAAATACAGTTTGAAACTGGCTATTAGAAACACTCCAGTATTTTTTGTTCCACAGATTTAGATTTGAGATGAAATTGTTAAATGTATCACATTAAACTTATGAATTCAATGTGTAAAAAACAGGTTGTGTTGCTTTATAAAAGTAATTAACATCTACACAGTACTTTGTTAGGATAAATTTTAAATTCACAAAATATGCAAGCTACTGAGTTCTTTAGATCTCTTCAAACTATATTTATTTATTTCATTTATATGCTGGCCTTATTGCAAGGATCAGATTTAAGGCAGCTTGCAGTGAAAAACTTGGAAGTTTTCAAAAACTGCCTGGACTGGCTTATAAGCTAGGGTCTCCTGGTTGGTCATGCAACATTGGGGCTTGACCAACCAACCAGTCAGAGGACAGTGGGAGTTGTGGAAGGGTGGTAATTATCACTAGCAGGGAGTGATTTTTGATAAGAACTTTCTCCTCTCCTGCAGGGTTTTCCAATTCCCATGTAATTCTTTTCATAAATGGAAACCACGAGACAAGAAGCATGCCTGTATTTAATGAAAATCTTCCCTGGCTGCTAACATCTGGTGATAGTGATTTTCATTAATTAAAGACTTCCTCCTTCTGCCTTATGACTTCCATATGATGAAGCGGGGATGGAAAAGCAATAGGGTAGAACTAGGAAGTTCTTAACTACCACATATTACTGATGACATCATCACCCTTCCACATATGTAAATTACACAACAGGGTTACAGCTATTGGCTTATTGGGCAGCATACAAATATTGAGTAATACAAACACTCTTCTTTAATAGTGTGACAAATGAGCTACCAACTGTAAAATAAAAGTGGCCTTCAGTGCAAATTGGTTGCCTTAGAACAGATGTGCAGAATTGGTTAGCAAGGAAACTGGAATACGATCGGTAGAATTGCCCTTTTCCTATGCGTATTCCCGTCTTCAGAAGGAGAAGGGAATGCTAAACCACTTCTGAATACCCTCTATCTAGAAAATCCTGGAAAGGGTTGCCATAAGCCAGAATTGACTTGACAGCACATTATTACTTTCATGTTACTGGAAATAATGAAAATACTGAAAAAACTGAAATGGCATAGATTATTATTTCCAGAATGAATTAGACCACTGGGAATAATTGAGTTTGCATAACAGCATGAGCATTATTTTGCATAATAAAACCAGAAATGCATTCATAAAAATAGAAATATATTTTATGAATATAAGTCCAGACCCTTATCAGAAAGTGGTTACAGCTTATCAAAATCTAAACACAAAACTGGGTATCAAATGTTGACATTTTAATTAAATTAGTATGTAAAAAAACACACCATTAACAATTTACATTGCTTTTACAAATGTAATAAAGACAAAGTAAAACCCAAGTAGAAAAATATTGAAAATTTAAATACATAAGTAAACATTTTTTAAGCTTAGGCATTTTTACAGGTTTTCCCCTTCACCCTCTAACTGAAAAATCAAAGATACATTTATGTCCAAATAAGTACTCTCAAACTTGCTTTAGTTCTATATTGATGGACAATTCTTGAAAAACTGCATGCACGAGGACTGCTTTTCTCAAATTGTAACTGAGAAAATGAACAGAATAATGAGGCATTTCAAAATGTATCTGCCCACCCCCTACTACTTGGTATAGTCCCTTGAACAAAACATTAATGATTTTTCTGATTCTTTCATGAGCTACTTTATACATCCTCAACTTTTTCTACAGTTCCTCTGTAAAAGAACAGAAGGAAGAATGTTAGAATTTAACTAGTGTTTCAAGTTATGGAATTCAAGAATGTTTAGTGACAGCATACTTAGATCAAGGTTAAGCTACCCATTCAATTCCTTGGATGCAAAAGAACACTGAGTACTGTTTAAAGAAATGTCAGCAGTTTGAAGTCTTGTTGAGCAAGCATATAAATCATGATTATGCAATTAACTTTACAGTGTTACAGTACATTTGAAAAAGGACAAATATGTTTTGCCTCAGAGCTTTACATCTGTACGAATTCCAAGTCCTTGAAACTGGAAAATTAAATGAGTGTGACAACAAAGTTACATTCTTAAACCATTATAGTACCTTTTTCAAATAGGGAATCTACAGAATTGAGATTGTAGACATTTCATAATGTGACTAGCAGAAATGATTAGCTGGTTTAAGTACCACACTTTAGCAATCTGTAAGATTCATGGCAGTAGCATACCAAAAAAGCATTTTAGTATAAACTGTACTTCAAGTAATAAAGTTATTCTTCCAATCTAAGCTCTGTCACAAACTGCCCAAAGCAGTGCCCACATTAATTTGTTTCATTTCCGGGATGATCCCACTGCCTGCCACACTGCAGGCTTACTGAAGAATGTTTAAGCCCGATTTCTGAAAATACGGGAATGCCTGGATTACTTTAGCTCTGTTGTTCTTAACCTTTGTTACTCGGATGCTTTTGAACTGCAACTCCCAGAAACCCGTCAGCACAGCTGGTGGTGAAGGCTTCTGGGAGTTGCAGTCCAAAACTCCTGAGTAACTCAAGGTTAAGAACCAGTGCTTTAGCTGAAAGGAATGTGCAAGCCAACAGAACTCAGTCATGCTTGTTATCTTCATGTACAGATGTATATAAATTTTTCTCAAGTTTAATTTTTTTTAAAAAAATCTAATCTACAAATCCATTTTGTTTGGTTAGATAGAAGAATAAATATTTCCAGCTTTGAAGAAGTTCACAATTGTTTGCTTCAGAAGCTCTGCATCACTTCTCTACAAAGGCTGCCGCTGCCATAGAAGACCTCATGGTTCCTCGTGCAGAAGAGGTGAATTCCTCTATCTCAGCATTCAGTCTCTTGATCACCCATTCCAACGCTTCACGTCCCTACAAACACACACACCTTAATTAGGAGGGCAAGAAGCAACTTGTTCCATCTAGTCATAAGATAAAGGAAGTTTTAGAGACATAACACACATCTGTGATAGAATTACAATAAATCAAAGTGCATTTTCCAGACTCCGGCATACCTTTCCTGGATCTATCAAGCAGGTGATCTAGGTTTTAAATATGAATTCTAGGTTGCTCAACTTTTGGCAATATCTGATAGCACCACTCCATTTTTATTTTATACTGGCTAATAACTTTCCATAGTACTTCTAAGTAATAAATATATATTTAAAATCGTGTAAGCCATCTTAAAGGCTTGTCTTAGATAGAAAAATGGAAACCAAACATATGTAAATAGTATGTTGTATTAGCAAAGTCAGAAAATTACCCCCAAAGCAGAGTGAAAACTATCTTCATATCCACTTCTAAGGTTTTCAGACTTTTGTTTCTCAAGGAGCAGCTTGTTTTATTGGATTTCTACCCTGCCCATCTAGACCAAAGGTCTACTCTGGGCGGCATTACAAATTTAAAAACAGTTAAACCAATAAAGATGCACTATAAATCCAATATGGTAAAATGTGAACTTAAGATACAGCAGGAGGGAAAGCCAGCTTACTCATGGTGCATGCCAAAACGTGTTCCCCCACTCCAAAACTGAGGGAACATCTCTTGTGCAATACGATTCTGAGAGTTTACATGAACACTCTCCTCCATCAATGTACCTGCAGATATCTCTTTTAGCATCTGGCAGGCTCCTTGGATCTATCTCATTTTAAATGCAAAGCTGTAATCATCACCATCATCATCTTACAACTGCAAAGCTGGAAGGGACCCTATGGATCACTATGTCCAGCCCATCAAGTGGAGAATCAAACTCCCAGCCTCTGGCTCGGCAGCCAGATACCTAAATCACTGAGATATCCAGCAGTTCTACTAGCCTATTGCAAAGCAAATGCCAGCATGTTTCTCTGTACAATGGTTTGTCTTTTAAAAAACAGTATTTTTAATACTTTGTAAGCTGAAGCTTCTCAGTACACACTTCAGTCTGCCTTCCATGAAATGAGTGAAGCAGAAATGCAGATTCAAAAGAGGAGCTTAATCACTTACAGCTTCCCATCTTTGCCTTCATATGACAACTGACCCCAAATATTGGGGATTCTGAATTAAAGAACAAAGACTTTTACTAGGTCTCCAAAAGCTTTTGAAATTCCAAACTGTGTTTGTCATCTTCTGCAACTGACTTCCTGATCTGCAGTTTAGCAACATACACTTCAAGTAAATCAAGGGATGCTTATGTTAATGTCCTAGAGGATTAGATGCTTAATTAAAATTAAATATGTTAAGTCCACACACACACCATTTTGTATGTTTCCTGGAGAGGGATGCTTATGTTAATGCCCTAGAGGATTAGATGCTTAATTACAATTAAATATGTTAAGTCCACACACACCATTTTGTATGTTTCCTGGAGTCCCTAAATTTGGAGAAAGACAGGACAAAACAATGTAACACTTCAAATCAACTCCCCTGGTTTGCAGAAGAGCAACACTACCCATAGAAGTAAGGTTAGTATTATCCCCATATGACAAGGCCATGATTGTTGATGTTTGGCCGAGCCTATGGCCAAAGTGGGACTGAAGGTGGGTGCTGACACAGGTCTCCATTTATCGCAAAGTCCATCCCTCTTCTTACCCCCTTCAGAAACTGAAAGCAATACATACTTTTTTTGCATTTGAAGATATTGTATTTTCCATCAGTCCTTCTAGGTAACTGCTGACACTAACTCCTTTCACACAAATGGTTGCTTCTTGAGTCAAAATGGTTCTGAGGAAGAAACAAAGAATGACTTAGTGGTTCAAACAACTAATGTTCGATCAGTCTCTCTCTCTTTCTCTCGCATCCCCCCCATTCCCATACACCCTTTCAGATGCATGGAGTATGATCTTCCATACAGGTTCACGTGGCATTTTGTCCTTTTGTGTCTGTGTATATATATAATCTGAGAGAGAAGACCACACCCTATACATCTGAGGGAATTCTAGTCTATTAATTATGTATGCCAGTAAAAATGTTAAACTTCAAAACACCATAGACACATTCATTCAAAATATTTTACCCCACCTTTTCCCTTAAAACGACCCGAGGCAGGTTATATCATGTTTCAACCAACTGTTATCATCTACTACCTTCTACTCAATCAATATCATATTCCAAGTTCTACTCAAATAATCTGTCTAACAAAACATCTAAAGTAAAACACTGGATAATTAGTACTTACTTCTCTGGTTCTTGAGGGTGTGGTTTATAAACTAGTCTCTCATCCACAGACACCAAATTTGTAAAAGAAATCTAAAAGAGATTTTATGCAATAAGCCTTACCATGAAAAAAAAATCAATTAAAAAAAACAACAACATAAGGAACTTAACAGTCATCTTATCTAAGGCCACTAACACTGGGGAACAGTATTTTATTGAAAAGAGATTATAATATACAGTAATGAAGCAAGTATCACTGCACTTCTTCCCTAAGAATAAATCACATACATGGCTCTGTGAACTGGACAGGAATCCCTGGAACTGTATGAGATTATCATGGCTTTCATTTTGGTATGCCATTCATGAATGCTATCAGTTTCTCAGAAGACTGACTTGAACAGTAAGAGTCAGCACAGTATGAATCAAAAAGTGCTTCTGATAGGAAAGTTCATGAGTTTATCATGGCTTTCATTTTGGTATGCTATTCATGAATGCTATCAGTTTCTCAGAACAGTAAGAGTCAGCACAGTTTGAATCAAAAAGTGCTTCTGATAGGAAAGTCACCCTCTGTGCCACTAACATTGGTTCATTTGTGCAGCCAACTTTAGCAAATGAGCAAGCAATTTTATATGCTAGATTACAAAATAATGATTTCAATTGATTTTTGAAAGCACCAAGGCAAAGGATCTGTCTATTATAAATAATTAAGTTTAAAAGTTTTTGCAACACTTACATTAGTAGACTTAAGCTCCATTACTTTCTCCACTGGGTCAACTACGGAGTGTTCTCGTACATATGTTCTTGTTCTGCAAGGACCAATAAGCTTGGAAAGAAACATTTGTTATTACTCACTTTAGAACTATTTCAGCTATTGAAATAGGGCAAGTATGACAACATCTACTAATCTTTTGTTCATATTTTCACTCTGTAGTCATAATTTAACACAGACACCCAGCAGTAAACACATGTGAGGCACAATACTTCCTGCATTATTGTAGCAGGAACAATATGCCACATGAACTGAATACTTCAGATATGCATAAGGTAAAGGTAAAGGTTCCCCTTGACATGTAGTCCAGTTGTGTCTGACTCTAGGGCAGGGTGCTCATCCCCGTTTCCAAGCCATAGAGCCAGCGTTTGTCTGAAGACAGTTTCCATGGTCACGTGGCCAGCACGACTAGACACGGAACACTGTGACCTTCCCACTGAGGTGGTACCTATTTATCTACTCGCATTTGCATGCTTTCAAACTGCTAGGTTGGCAGCAGCTGGGACAAGCGACCGGAGCTCACTCCATCATGTGGATTCGATTTTACGACTGCTGGTCTTCTGACCTCGCAGCACAGAGGCTTCTGCGGTTTAACCCGCAGCGCCACCACGTCCCTTTTTAAGATATACATAGTATGTCTAAATGTAGAGGGAAGATTGGGCAATACTTTTATTAGAACAGTAAAAAATTATAAGTATAAGCTAGCCTTCAGTCTTGTACAGATCTTCATTAGGCTGAGCACCATAGAGCTGTAGATGAAAGTTTCAAAAATATTTTGGGAGACACACCAGTCTATAACACCAGAGGTGAAACTTGCACCTCTGAACTGACTCTGTAGCCTCCATTTTGAAATTTCAACAAAGCCTAACACACATATCTGCCAATGATTTGCCATTGAAAACATCGCAATGCGATCGCATTAGCGATCTGAAAAACCAGATCGCTATGCGGATTTGTCGTTAAACGGTGTGCTCGTTAAGCGAGGCACCACTGTACAGATCTTCATTAGGCTGAGTACCATAGAGCTGTGGATGAAAGTTTCAAAAATATTTTGGGAGATACACCAGTCTATAACACCAAAGGTGAAACTTGCACCTCTGAACTGACTCTGTAGCCTCCATTTTGAAATTTCAACAAGGCCTAACACACATATCTGCCAATGATATTTGAACTCATAAGTTTGTACTGGTCTAATAAATGCTTAATATTTCAGTGAGTTATAGCTGTGAAGCCAAAGGTCCGGGGTTTGATTCCCCATTGAAAAGCCAGCCTATATAGCCTTGGGCAAGCTGCACAGTCCCAGAGCACCCCAAAGAAGAAAGGACAAATTATTCACTTATGAAGGGTCAGCATAACTTAGAATCAATAAGAAAGGACAAATTATTCACTTATGAAGGGTCAGCATAACTTAGAATCAATGTGATGGCTTGTATTTATAATAATGGTTAAAAACAAAAGGTATCACCCACCCTTGCCTTTGAATTGTGTAAAAGGACATTTTTTTTATATATTTGAGAAATTAGGTTCCACAATGTATAGCAACCAACTGTTTGTGCTGCCATGAGAACTGAAGGCCTCACTTCAATTCTTGACTGTAATCTATTCATTTGATATACCACCTGCTCCGATCACAAACTATGAATGAGCATCAATAGCTGTCTGCAGCACACCAGCCCATTCTGTTTATTTTATTTATTTATTTAACATATATGCCGCCCACACTACCCGAAGGTCTCTGGGCGGCTTACAGCATTTAAAATACAATAAAAAGGCAAAATGAAAGGGCAAAATAATTAAAATGCAATTAAAATATATATTCTAAAAATTGCCATCAGACCTACAGCTGATATTATTTCATATATATTATTATTATTTTATGAATCTGAAGCTTTTATAGCTGATGCGTAAACACACCAGAATAATTTTTTTTGCTTTGCAACTTGATCAATGCTAGGAAAAAAATCACAGTGTAGTGCAGTTGATGCCTGACCAAACTGAATTGAGACATATTTTTCAGAGAAGACTATTATATTGCATTTTATTTTAAAAAAAGACACATGCATGTAAGTTCATATAAGACTTTCCAGACATTTCTGTTTCACCTTTTGCTAGGACACTTACCGATTTTACAATTGATGGCATCCCCCACTCTGTACTGAGCAATCTATGGCTATGTAACTTTCCACTGCAGTCTATGTGCCGGTCCAAGACATCAACTCCAACCACACTAGGGTTCATGGGATTTGGATATTTCTGCATAGCAGCTGTAGTAACAGTCTCCCAAGGGTGGCTGTCAAGTTAAAACAACAATAAAATACCCTATGGTTTATGGTGCATTATACACAGGAATTGACCATAGCAATACTGTAAACCTGACTTTTTAGGAAAGAAGCTGATCCCAACAGTTCACTATATAATGTATTTCCCCTTACTCTTGTTTCAAAGAACCTATTCATTTACATCCAAATGGGGTATAGGGAATCTTGTGGCAGCACATAGAACTAAGGGTAGGTGGGTCACACAGAGGAAAGTGTATTAGTATTGAAATGGAAGTTAAAATTATAAAACCAGTTTAAGGGAGCTTTGGGAAGTCAGGGAAATGATCCAACCTGCCAGGTATAGAAAATCTTCTGCACAGAGATAGTTCTCAGCTCATACAGTTGGCACTGCCTTTTGAGCCATCTTTTCTATATGTTTCTGGACTCTCTGTTAAAAATATCCCAGCATGGAAGAATTCAGTACTAAAAGGCTGAAACATAACTGCGAGTCAACTTCAATCCAAAAGATAATGAGAGAAAATGCTCTGGAGGCGTGAAATGTGACCGAGCCTAGCAACTACTGCTGACTCTGATAAACAAGCTCTTCAAACATCAGTTGCTAGAACGCCCCATGATGAAACATGTGCAGCCTAGATAGAATTAAAAAAGGGAGGCGGATTCTGCACTGCAAAGAGGGCCTCCATGTGATATTCTTCCTCAGATTAGGGTTCACTCAAAACGAAGAGCAGGATCTCTTTAAGAAGGCTGAACCCAAGAAAACACAGACATACATAGCACAAAATTGCACACAATAAGGAGAAGCAACAATCCCCAGAACAGCTGCTTAACCTTGACCAGGAGGGAAAGAGAACATCAGTTAGGCTGAAGGGAGTTAATGCTTTTCCATCCTCAAACGAAACACCAGGTGAAATACCGGTGGGGGGGAAAAAGCAACATTTCCCTCCTGTTTTCAGTGATATCCCCCCAAAAAAAAGATCTACCTGATTTCTACACAATCTGCCATTTTCCTAACTGCTGTTTCTTTGGGCAAGTGAGAGACCGAGACTGTCTTGCCTCCCCCAGGACCATTCAACTCATCCCTCTCCAAAGAGGACCCCATCGGGCTACGAAAGGAATAAAACGCAGGAAGGACAGGGAGACCCTGAGCAAAGAAAGCCCTTGGGGGGGGGCTGGCTTTGGGTGGCTATGGACTAGCCCAGGCAGGCACCCCCTGCGCCTCTCCACCTGACCCAAGGTCATGACAGCCCAAGCCTGCCCCCCCCTCTCTCTATAGGGAAACAAAAAGATATACCGGCCCAGAGGAGTGGGGAGGAAAGGCAGGCCCTCCCCACACATGGGGGGGGGGCAGGAAGGGTCGGAGGAAGAGAGGCTGACCTCCAAGAGAGAGTCTGGCAGGCGGTCCCGGGCGAGGGCAACGGGAGGAGACACGTTATGCCTGCCCTGCCCTGCCCCACAGGACGAAGGGGACACCCGCCCACCACAGCCCCGGGCCTCCTCTCCTTCCCTCCCTCCCGCTTGCCCGCCCCCGAGACTCACTCGAAGGTGTGCTCGGAGGTCCAGATCTTCATCCTGGTCCGCTGAGGAAGAAGATGGTGGCAGGGCTGACGGGGAACGTTGGCTTCTTCCTCTTCCCTTCACGGCGCCCTCCCGATCTCGAGGAAAAAGGCTCTAAGAGCGTGACAGAGGGCACTCAGGGAACCGGGCGACACATACCCGACTGCGGCTGCGCACAAGACCGGGGCGGCTTATTACAGGAGGGAGGAGGTGGGACTTAACCGCCTGGGAAATCCCTGATAGGGCGGCGTCTTTGTCACGCCCCGGGTGACGCCATAACAGGAACCAACGGCCCGCCCGGGACAAGCGGAGAAATACAGTAGAGCTCTTCCTGCTCGTGGACTTCAGAAACGCGCTTGCGCGAAGCTCGAACGGTCTGGGCATGCGCTCTTTTCCTCGCGTGCCAGCCGTTGGCTGAGAAACGTGATTGCGGTCTTCAGAACTGCAGTCAGGTGGGGAAGCACGAGGCGGGGGAGTGCCGCCTTTCTATAAGTGTGGCATTTAAAGATCCAGTATTTTGCACCAAAAATCTAAAAACCACAGTAGCAATAACAGGAGCGCGTGTCTGACAGTACTAGTGAAATAGACTAGAGGCACCCTTCTCCCCAAAGGGCCTGCTTCTCATACGTACACATGCACACTAACTTCAAAATCTGGCTCTAAAAGGTCAAAGGAAGAAATTATTTAACAAGGGCTACAACACATATAATGTAACCCACACACACACACGTCCCCAAAAAACCCTTTGCAGCCCCCTTGGGAGGGACTGGACCACCAGGTTGGGAAACACTTCTCTAAAGGCGCTGTAGGAGTATACAGTATTCATTTTCTCCTTTACTAGGGTTGCCAGATGTCAGGCAATTAGCCTAATGTACTTCGTCAGGCAGGCAAAGATAAAAACCTTTAAAATGTCAGGCTTTTGTATATTTTATGTTATAATTTGGATGGGAGGGGGAGAGGTGGAAGGACCCTCTCCCCCCTGGCTTTCCTTGCCCCCATCTGCCCGCCTCAATTGAATTTATTTTTAATTTTTAACATGACTGTTTCTCGGTCAGTTCACTAAGAGATATTTATTGGCAGCTATTGTAATAAAATTGTATTGATTGTGTGTTCAATCTGGAACGATTCAAATGAAACATTCAACATGTCCTCCTTTGTCCTCCTTTTCATATTTTATGTCCTTCTTTTAGTACCCGTGTATCTGGCAACCCTATCCTTAACAGAGGTGTGTGTGTGTGTGTGTGTGTGTGTGTGTGTGTGTGTGTGCGTGCGTGTGCGTGTGCGCGCGCGCGCGCAGAGAAGCTTCCTATACAGTGGTGCTTCGCATAGCGATGATAATTGGTGCAGCAAAAATCGCTGCAAAGCGATTTCGTCGCTATGCGGTATTAAAAAGCCCATAGGAATGCATTGAAACCCCTTCAATGCGTTCCTATGGGCTTCAGACTCACCTTTAAACGAAAATCCTCCATACGGCGGCCATTTTCACTGCCCGGTAAGCGAGGAATCCGTCCCAGAAAACAGTGGGCGGCCATTTTTTTAACCCGGCGGCCATTTTGGAACTGCCGATCAGCTGTTAAAAAATCATCGCTTTGCGATGATCAGTAAGCGAAACAGGGACCGATCATCGCAAAGCAATTTTTCCCTATTTAAAACATGGAAATGCGATTGCAAAATCTTTGTCGCTATGCGATTTCATCATTAAACGGGGCGCCCGTTAAGTGAGGTACCACTGTATTCTTGCTTTGATGGGCAAAAGCCAAAAATCTTTCTTTCTTTCTTTCTTTCTTTCTTTCTTTCTTTCTTTGTTTGTTTGTTTGTTTGTTTGTTTATTTATTTATTTATTTGATTTATACCTCGCCTATATGGACTACCAGACCACTCTAGGTGGCTTCCAATACAGAATAAAACAATAAAACATAAGAATGTACATAATCATTCAATAACAATTATAATAAAATAAAATAGAAGAGAATTAGAAAGAAAAGTCAGGAATTAGCTGGAGGGAAGACCTGAATCAGAGCCTCAGTTTTAGGGCATATGCTTCGCCTTCTACAGACTAACAACACGCTAGGTCAAGAAATACTTTCTTTTGTCTGTTTTCACTCTACTAACACTCAATTGGAATGGATGTCCCTTGGTTCTGGTATTGCATGAGAAGGAAAAAAGTTTCCCTCTATCAACTTTATTCATCTTCTGCATAATTTTATAATGTATTCCCCTTCTTGTGTCAGCAAGTCTGTGAATTCAGCTGACTGTGACTTGATTTCAGCATTTTGGTAAGGAAGCAATTTGTACGGGTATGCATAACACACTATGTATGTAGAAATGTTGACACGGGGAGTGATTTTGGAACTAGAAAACACAGTTTCTGAATTAGAAAGCACAGTCAGAACCCCATATCTGCAGGGGATTGGTTACAAGCCCCCCACGGATGCTGAAAACTGTGGATAATAGTGAACATTATAAGAATAATAACTAGAATGGTAAAAGAGCAAAATCCAAGAATATGTATTTTCACCTATATCACCAGAACTGGCCAACCAAGGGAGCCAGAGACCATGCTATGTATTCTTCAACAATAACAATACCTAGTATGGTCTCGGGCTCCCTGTAGTGGCCAGTTTGGGTAAATACATTGTAAAAATACCTATTTCTAATTGTTTTCTTTTTCTTTTAATCATTTTCAAAATTTCAGACTACGGATAAGTGAAACTGTGGATACTGATCCAGCGGATACAGGGGTCCCACTGTATTTCCAGCCTGAGAGAAATGGATGGCTACCCAACTGTCTGCAGTACTTTTGCAGTAATGTGCTCAATGCTGAAAGGGAGACAGAAAGAAAGCTCTTTCTATTTATAGACATTT